TTTTTTTTTTTTTATTTCTTTAAATGCAAACTTATCGTAGAAAGAAGTTGACCTCGAAAACTTAGAAAAGTTACCGACAATAGGTATATTACCATGCGATACAAAATAAAAGATTTCTGATCGATCCGCTGATAAGAGAATAATTGAAGGTGATTACGTTACGCGGTTCACCCTGTATATTACACGGTAAAATTGTCTATTGTTAATATTGCGAGATTTTTGTGATACTCCCATTGATCTTCATTTTACATTAATTATCGATGAATAACTAAATTTTCGTCGTTACCATGATTACGTGTTTGAGAAAATGAAAATCAATGTTTCTTTTCTTTCTGTGTAGGAGAGCAAAGGAAAAGAGACTGAAGAAAGATGCGGGTAGAACAAGATGGTCTCAATATTTTCGAAGTATGAAAGGGACGGGGGCTGGTGGACATTCACCTAGGCATGATAAGTTACTTGATAAGGACGAACTTAAAGTCGACTTAGATTCCACGTTTGGTCACCATGGTATGTAGTTGTGCTCAATTTATTTCAATTTATTAATTCAATTTATTTTCCACATCTATCCTGTGTAAATATCACTTCAACGAGAATATCTTTTAAGATAGTGTACCTACATTTTACTTTGTATTATTAGATGCATTAACGAAGATTGTACTTAAGTACAGTTCAGTCTAATTGCGTATATACAGGGTGGGCCACGTGAAACAGGCCACGTAATTTCACTTCTCTGATTATGTTTCAAAGGGTGAATAAGATGGAAGAAAAATTTATTTCTATCTTCTTCAAAGTCACCTATGTCTTCTTTGAGTGAATTCTTTTTACTATATGCTGTAGCACAACAATGTGACCTTAAAATTATCTTGGACTCTGAAATTTTACGTCAGATGTGAAATTTTCTTTCATCTTTCGCCATTTCTTCCGTTTTATCCACCCTTTGAAGCTATTCAAATTGCACGTAGAAATTTTCTCGTACAACCATAGCTATATTAGAGAAGACAATTACGTGGACTGTTTTACGTGGCCCATCCAGTATAATACGAGCTGTTGCATACTTCCAAAAAATAGGTACGAAACATTGCTCACTTCTGAGTGATTAAATTCTACTTGCTATTATACGTAAATCCCTAACGCGCGATAGTATATACCTTTTTCGTGATTTTTGCAGAAGGTAGAATTCTTGACGGTTTGATATCGCCGAAAATTGCGCTGTGTTATTAGAAATAGGCAGTGAAAAGCGACCAGTAACGCATTATTTGTGCTTCCAATATCGCGAAATGTACGCGGGCTTTCCCCTCTGTATGCACTTGCCCTCTGTAAGCATTCCCTTCGATTCGCGAAACGAGAAAATGTTCAAAGCAACGACGCAACATCGTCGAATACGCGTACACGTTCCGAGAGATTTCATTATTAAAAACGAATTTTACATTAAAAAAAAAAAGAAGAGAAAACGGTAAGATTCTGAAACAACTAAGAGAAATAAATTTCTACGTTAAACAGAGGCGCCAAATATTTAAACCCTCGGGATAATCGTCGTGGTTAATTGTAATCGCCTTAGAAGAAAATATTTCATACGAAAAAAATGTTTTTCTTTTTTTTTTTTAACGTAAGTCAGCACAAGTTTGCATCTTAAAGCACGCAAACGTTGTTAGAGAGAAAAGAGGCGCGTAGAAGCTTGGCGAATTATTTTTCTCCCTCTGTTGGTTTCGCTCTAATGTTGGTTACATGTAAGCTTTCGTGTTCTCGAGAGTTTAGCAGAGGGGAAGACGATCTCGTCAATTATTCAAGGGTTCGTGAAGCTAACTGCTAGTTCACCGTGTCCGAGATTTCAGGAAGATTGCGGACCATCCTCGAATTTATGCCTACCGTTAACCACGCGCGTCGTAAAGTCGTGTAAACTTCATCTGTTGTTTCATTTTTAAACGACTTCATTACCGACTGACTTCCTCTCGCACGACGGAAATATTAGCAAATTATTTAGGTCAGATATGCTCCGCGCCGCTACGACTCGTCACCGTAAAGGGTGAAACCCCTCTTGATGCAACATAATCGCATAAGTATCATTTTTGAAGAACGCAGAAATTTTAAATAGGAAACTTTTACAAAGTACGAGCTCGTTTTTAACATAAGTACCTGATTACAGTGTAATGTAAACACTCGTTAAGTTCATTCAGTACTTTCTTTTTGGTAATTAGATTAAACTAATCTCTCTTATTAAAAATCTTACAGTAGAAATTCATTATTTATGTATATTTGAAGTTGTTAACTTATTAAGTCATCAGTGAAGTTAAACAAATGTATGAAATTATCATGCAAGAATCTCATAAATTGTTCTGCAGAACTGAAGTAATAAGTAGGTATTTGTCAGAGAAATATGCAGGGTGGGCCAGTAAAAATTACCCTTGAATATTTCCGGAACCGTGAAAGTAAGAAACAAGTAGGTATGTTTTTCGAATAAATTTTGTTCGGTGACCATCGTATGGTTGCACAACAATTGTTTTGTACGTAGAGTCGCTGAAGAGATGTGAAAGCCACCCCTGCTTTTTATTTATTTGTTAATAGCAACCCCTGACGAGAGCACAAAAATCACGTGCCTCGATAAATTCTGACGATTTAGTAGTAGCAGTCTAATCGACCTTCCGATTTTAAACGATGTTGTGTTATTTTTGTATTTATCTTAAGAACTGTCACTAGAAAATAAATGAAAAAAAACATGGCATATCGTTGAAAAAATGATTTCACCGTTTCATTCGGCAAAATTTTAATTTCGATGTAAAATTTCACAGTTTTAAAATTAAAATTTCATTTTGATGATTCCGGAGGTATTCAAGGTGTCAATTCTTACCGCTCCACCCTGTTGTACCATCGCAGACTATTTTTTGAATATTGTGCAAAGATTCCTATGTACCGACGAATTAATCGAATTAACATTTGCATTTAGATTTGAGTAACGACAGTTACGGCACAGTGGTGAACATGGGATTAGATGGTGAAGGCGCGAGTCCAGGTGGGGGTGGAAATGGGGCTGGCGGAGGACCTCCACGTGGTTATTTGGGTGCAACGACTCCCCCTTATCTCTCAACGTCCAGATCACCGTCCTTACCACCTCAATTTCCATATCCACCGGATGCTGGTCTCTCCGTCTACACTTCCCTTGGTAAGCGAACATTTCATTGTTACATAGCGACGTGATAAGATATATTGCAGCGGACTCCCGTATAACGCGTGGAAGATACCGCGGCTACTGTTTTCATGTTTAACGCGATTCCTCGTAAAACGCGTATATATGTGACTTATTAAAAAAAAAAAAACTGTCCTGTTTGATGAAATGTAGAAAATGAAAGTTGGCGTGGCAATAGTCGTTGCAAACATGTTACTTTAGGTTATTTGGGAGTCTGCTGCGTATCATACTCTCCCGCATTCTAATTACAGTATCGCGTTCTTTCTTTGAGCCGAACATTTTTTGTTAGAAAAAGCATTTGCCCTAAATGAATAAGAATTCTGGTAAAAA